TTCACAATTTTACACCATTATTCTCAACACAATTATATATATATATATAATTGTCCAATCCTATATTTTCTAGCTACTTCATGAAACATTCCATCACTTAATAATTTCTTTAATATCAAACTCTAATTCGAACCCAATTTGTGGAGATTGTCGTCAACTTGATCACTTGTCTAGTCAGAAATGACAAAACTATATATTATTATTATTGCACCATGTAGCCACATTTTTTGTTTTGGTTGGTGGCTAAATTACAAACACGTTGCTTTTTAGAAACTCAAATTCTCAATTATTTTATTTTAAAAAAGAATGAGATATCAATTGATCTACTTCAATAAATATGTTATATAAACAAAAAATTTATACTTCTATTTTTCTTGATATAAATTTGTTCATATGTAGAGCATGTCACTTTAAAATAAAGAATTATTAATTGTTATAACTTAAAAAATCACTGACATGCCACGTTTTTGTAGGTTACTTCCGCAAGAAAATAAATAATTTGTCTCACGTATTTTCTTCACATGAAATGCTACTACAAATTGCTTAAATATCGTATTACAAAGCAAAACCAAACTTGAAAAGATTACAATGATCTCATGAACTTAACTTTCCCTCAAATTAGTCATTTTCAACTAAAATTGGTGGAAAGAAAATATTACAACTAGTCAGCCATTGCATGCACGACTTTAGTGGCAATAATCAAATCTATGATTTATATATATATATTTTATTTTATATATTTTATACAATTTGGTTACTGACATTTCAATTTTTAATTCTCGGTGATTGTTCCATATAACAACCAAACGTAGGGAATTAACAAACGATTTGTTGTGATATCATTATTAAACACAATAGATTGTTTGCTAAAATCTGATAAAAATATTTGATCCATGAATTCCATCTGATTTGATCAATTGGATTTTCATTCCTATGATTTGGTAAAAAAATTCAATAAATTAAGAATATGTAGGGATCAGATCACGGATTAGAATGTTTAAAATTCAATCATTTGTTAGAGTTGAACTAGATACTATTATGCAGAAAATAAATAATGTTAATACAAGATTTGTTCTACTATTAGAAACTTCAATGTAGTAGATTACTTAATACTATTATGCAATTGGATCATTTTTGTTTTAATTGGATTGGTTTTGGCTCATTTTTGTTTTAATTGGATTGGTTTGGCTTAAGAAGTATTTATTTTAAATAAAATGATTAAACTGCATGGTCAAACAAAAGAAAACAAATTGTTGTGTTATTTAGAAAAGTCCAATTCATAGAAACAATCTAGGTGGGATCAAGTCGTCTTAGTACTCTGATTGACTTCTATTTTCATTAATTAGTAGAAATCAGACTTAATTAAGTTTAATGTCTAGTCTTATCTAATCATTTCTTGGTTTTCACTCAAGTGTTAAAATTTAGGAATAATTTCACTGACATTCCCTCAAGTTTAGCCAAATATTATTCTCAAACATCTTTCGAAAATAAGTCACTCACATTATAAACGTTGCTCCGTTTTCACTCACACCTCAAAAGTTAGTTGGCATGTTTGTCAACTTTTTACATATAAAAAGACATTATTACCCTTTGGCTTTAGTTTGACCCACTAAATTATTTCTTTAATGATTCAAATGACATGTCTGCCCTTATTCAACTTTAGTTTGACTAACTAAATTATTTCTTTAAGTATTCAAATGACATGATTACCCTTATTTTACCATTAAAATCAACTAACCATCTTTAGCCGTTGTATAACTTTAGCCGTTCCGTTTCATAATAATGTGTGGGAACATTTATACTGGTATTTACAAACAAATCAAACATGTCGAAAAACAAAAAAGGCAAATATATAACAGAATACCTAAAGGAAGCAAAGAAACCCTCAAAACCTGTAATGGGGGATTTCACCGGAATTAGATTTGGAATTGGATTTTTGGTGTTTGGAATGAATGAGATTCTAAAAGAATCTAAATTTGACGGGATTTGAATGGAAATTTTATAACATAAGCAAATTCAGAAAAAAAAAATTGGAGGATTTGATGGTATAGGTGTAAAATTTCTCCTAATCAAAAAAGAATTAAATAAATAATACAACTCACTCAAGAAAAATAAACATTCACAAGAACTGTTGAAAGAAAAATGTATATAGCTCGATACTCTTTATTGGAGGTTTAGGACTCTATTTATATACAAAAAGGCGGTGGAATTATGGTAGGACTCGCCTTATTTGTCCTCCAATTCATTTCATACACATCATTTCTTACAAATAAAATTCTTTCCTTTTTATAATTCTTTCAATGCCAAACTTTCTTCCATGGAGTTTTTCTTCTATGGAACTCACCAACTTTAAAAACAGGGTGCACGTATGCATTCTGCAGGTAGGCTTTCAAGTTTAAATTTGGTTATGTAGCTCGTTCTAATGTATCCTTTACCATTGCATCCTGAGAATAAATATATCAAATAAAGATCTTTACCGCACATGAATGAAAAACACCATACTGAGAATTAGATTTTACTCAATGAGACAATTCAGAAGCATAAAGTTTTTAATATGTCCCCAGCATCCCACCAAATCAAATAACAGTGTAACATCAACAACAAATATCTTAAAATATGACATTTAATACTAAGTACTGTATATAAAAACGCAAACCTTACCAGGAATATATTTTTTTTAAATAAATAAATAAAAGTTCAAGGGAATACCCCTAAAGATAAAGGAAAGGGCTTGAGCCCAAGAAGGCTGAAGAGGCTAAACATAAGAGCCCAAAATAAGAGCAATATAAAATCAATAATAATGACCCAAGCCCGTGAAAAAGAAAATTTTATGTTTCACAAAATTACATTTTGACCTTTTGGGGCATTATTCAATGACCTAGTTGGTAGAGTGTCCAGCTTCTCGAGCGGGTGTGCTCGTGATCGAGTCCCTCTCCCCCTAGTATGACCTTTGATTTCTAGGATAAAACTAGGAAAAAAAAAAAGAAGAAAGGTAATTGGTACTAAAAAGAAAGAAAGAAAAAAATAAAATGCTTTCAAAGTAAATTAATGGTCGATGGTAACATTTTATTTCAACTCGAATCCACAATGCTTTTTTTTTTTTTTTTGCCCTACAATTTTAGGACAAAATTTGTCAATACATATAGTCATGTATAATTTTCAGTTTTATAACGATTACATTACTACTGAATAAGCCAACTCTGTGCGAGACAATTAATTGTTGTGTCCAATTATGATTAAATAACAATGACATTGTCGAGCTTCATTATCTGTGCGAGACAATTAATTGTTGTGTCCAATTATGATTAAATAACAATGACATTGTCGAACTTCATTATCAATTTGTGAAGGCGTTTATGGTGGAGTTGGAGCTCTCGAAACATAAAGACACAAAAACCCTCTGCCTTAATTAGAGTTCAGAATACAAAGAAGAATTTTCAACATTTATCGTTTCAGTTAAAATTTAGCACTAAACTGTTTATGAAAATTGTGACAGATAGTTCAAAAATTGGACACATGACTATGTATTTATGTGCAGGAACTCGGATGTGTCAAACTCTCAGACTATTTATGAAACAAACAAGCTCCAACAAGTTATAGAATCTCATAGTTCATATATAGAAGTGTAGAGAGATCCAAGTTATTATTACCAGGGGGTTTGTAAAAAGAGAGACCAAATAATGATTTTGCCCTGTTCTTTTGGTGGGCTGGTTACGGCCCATATTTGGTTCAGACCTTCTTCAGTAACGAGGTCCTTTGCTTTTCTAGGTTTTGCAGCTTGGTTGGTTGTTTTCCTTGGGCCTATTCCATATTGTTTCACACACACACATATATATACACACATAATGTTTACAAACTACATTGTATAAATTAAATTCAATAACTATCAAATTCGATAATTAAATAATTATTCATTTGTTATACTTTAACAAGAATAATGATATCCTATGTGTTCGGTTCGTCCAATTTGTTGGTTTACAAAAATAATGCTACTTAAGCCCAACTCTTTAATCAAAGAGTCGAGTCGAAAAACATGCATCCATATGACGTATGTGATGGGATACACTCATAACATATGTTGGGCTGCAATCTTCGGTTAAAGAGTTGGGCCTATAAATCATTATTCGAATTATGAAACGTGGGTCCAAGGCCCAACCACCAATTTTCTTATGAGAGGTTCAATCCAATGGCACTCTTTATCATTAGGCCCTGCTCTTCTATGACTGACTTCTTCACAATTTTACACCATTATTATCAACACAATTATAGGACTCTAAGTCACTGTCACCATATATATATATATATATATATATATATATATATATATATATATATTATTGTCCAAGCCATCACTTAATAATTTTCTTTATTAAAGATTGTTATCAAGATGATCACTTGTCTCACATGTGACGACAATTTTTTTTTTGGTTGGTAGCTAATTTACAAATACGTTGCTTCATAGAAACTTAAATTCTCAATTCTTTATCATATCAATTGATCTAAATCAATATTTATGTTATATAAACAAAGATCTTATACTATTTTTCTTGATATAAATTTGTTCATAGGTAGAGCATGTCACTATAAAATAAAGAATTATTAATTGTTATAATTTAAAAAATCATCGATGTGTCACGTTTTTGTAGGTCATGAAATGCTTCTGGCAAATTGTTTGAATTCATCTTACGTAACAAAATCAAACTTGAAAAAGATTACAATTGTCTCGTGAATTTAATTTTCTCCTCCCTCTCTAATTAGTCAATTTTCAAGTCAAATTGGTGCGTATCATTAGTCATTTGAAAGCAAATATTACAACTAGTCAACTATTGCATGCACGACTTTATTGGCAATAATCAAATCTATGATTTTTATATGTTTTTTATTTTATACATTTTGGTTACTGACATTTCAATTTTTAATTCTCGGTGATTGTTCCATATAACAACCAAACGTAGGGAATTAGCAAACGATTTGTTGTGATATCATTATTAAACACGAGATTATTTTCTAAAATCTGATAAAAATTGGCATACAACCAACATAAATACAAGATTCTGCCACTAGTCAGTTGAATGTACGTCGGAGTCTTGTAATTGGACTAAAATGATAAAATTAAGAGGAGACATACCGAAAACTAGATATCACAATCCAAACTTGCATTTCAATTTATAAAAAATGAAATGTGGCTCTCGAAAAACATTTAGCGGCTGAGTCGTGATAGAGCGTTTGAATTAGACTTCTAAATATCTTTCTTGACGGATTGAGTATCAAGATGGTGGCGGAGATGGAAGCACGGTAAGCGCAAGCACGCCGCTTACTGCGGCTGCAATGGCTCCAACGACAATTGCCGGTAAATTGCCTCCTCCAAATAGGGCATCCCATGGTCCACTCGTTACAGACACAATCATCTGTATAAAAATTTAACTAACCAAATTAGTCTGCATCTCTAATAACCCATATTATACCAATCAATTAAATTTTTTTTAAAAATAATAATAATTATTTTTTTGAAAAAGTTAAGCAAATACAATCAAACCCATACAAGAAGAATGAGATGTACATATAAAAAACAAAGTACATATTACAGATTATGGTGCTAGAATATATGACAGTCTTACATGTATGTGTATATATATATATATAGACTACTAACAAAATCTGACCTGTGGTATAACTGATGCTAAATTGAGAACTCCCATAGAGAGACCTGTGGCATTCAAACATCAAAAGAGCATGTTAGAAGAAAGGCTTAGCAATCCCTAAAAGTTTTCAAAAACAGTACAGGCTTTTAATTTACCTTGTCCAGCATTAGAAGTGGTAGAAAATATGGAAGCTAGAGCATAGGGAACAATAGTAGTCACCTGCACAAACACACTCAAAAATCATGTATATGTCCATAATAAACATTTATATAAATGTTTTTTTTACACAAATACAATGTGTTTAAATGCATCCATATGCATACATATACATATACACATACAATTTATAATTGTCTAAAAACATTATTTGTAGCATTTAATGATTAAATAAAAATATGGTCTGTGAACTTAACTCATCCAATGATTAAATAAAAATAGTTTAGAGTATAACGTAAATGAACATTTTAACTGTAAACTCACCGAGAAAGGGATGCCCAAGATGGCGAAGAGAGCAAACGCGCCAACCTTAACACCAACAGGTGGCGGCAAGGGATCAGTCCCACCACCGCCTTCGGGGGCAAACCGCCTTGTGGAATCAGCCAATTTGGTAATCAACACCGTCATGGCCAAGCAAATTGCCAACAGAAAGTTGGCCCACCCCCACATCCGCTTCCCACCACCGCCATGCCCAACAAACTGCACCGTCAGCGAAGTGATCCCCACCACCACCGAGTTCAGCATCAGCGCTAATGCACCCGCGTGCACGCCCTTAGCATACATCGTCCCCTCCCCAACCTTCCCTCCATAAACCTCCTTCCCCATCCAGTCCGTATCGTACAACAGAAACGGAAAGAAACCGATCCAATTCAGACACGTCACCAACAATATCATCCGCATGGACCTAGGCAACTCCTTCAACGCACCGTATATTTCCCCGAAAAAGGGTAACTTCCCCTCCACGTTATTTCCAGATTTCGGTAGACTTATAGGCTTCTCATGTACTGTTGTGAGCGCGAAGACAGTTAGGGATAGTAACAGAATAATGGAGAGAAAAAAACAGCTCTTCAAATTTGCACAGTAGACATCACATGCTTCAGTGATTGTGAATGGAAACATATTGTGGAGGTGACTGTATGATCCTGCAGCGTATCCGAGGACGTGTCCGACCGCCATGAAGAAGGAGAATAAGGCGTTGGCAGTTCTGGTCAGGCGTTGGTCGTTGCCCGCGAGGTCTCCGAGGAAGGCACGGCAGGGTCCCTGTACCGTGTTGTTGGCCACGTCGAGGACCCAGAAGCCGCTGATGAAGATAACGATGGCGCGGGGCTTGGGGGTCTTTTTGGCTGTAGGGTCTCCGAGGAGGCGGCCCAAGTCGGCAGAATAGCCAATGATGAAGACGCCAACGCAGACAAGGGCGGCACCGGCAGCGATGAAGGGGCGGCGGCGGCCAAAGCGGGAGGTGCAGCGGTCGCTGTAGTAGCCGGCGACGGGTTGCACCACCATGCCGGAGATGGGGCCGCAGAGCCACATGAAGGTGGCCCACATGTGGGGGATGCCTAGGAGCTGGACGTATGGGGTCAGGAGGGAGAGTTGTAGGGCCCACACGAAGCATATGCCGGTGGCAATTGACGCCACCGTTATTATGTTTCGCAGTGGGCTTGGTGGTGGTGGTGGTGGTGGTGGTGGTGGTGGTGTGTCTTTTTTGAGTTGCAGAGATGAAGTAGGTTGTTGTTTATCATTCTTCATAGCTACACCACTCTCCATTCTCTCTCTCCCTATCAGTGTGCTGTAGATTAATGAATTGTTGTGTATTTGTGCTTATATATATATATATATATAGTGTGGATAACTTGCAACTGGTGGGGTCTGATAAATGTGTCCCAAATCCAACAGTCGGCCGGAGCTATACAGAAGTGGAAAGCGTGTGATCACTACCACGTGTGAAATTGATAAAATGATTGACAAATCCATGTCATAGTCATCCACGATCACACTCGTTTGCTGTAGTATAACATCAATCAACCTAAATTAGTAAGAGTGGTTTTGTACGTAATAGTTTGTTAATAGTCTACAAGTACTATTTTCTAGATTTTTTTTTTTTTTTTTTTTTTTTTTTTTCACTACTGCCTAGGTTAATTGATGATGATTTATGAAAAATTATTATATGGATCAAATAAAACTTAACTATGCTCTGATACAAGTTTGTATGTTAAATGGTGATATATTTTAATAATATTTTAAAAAGAAAGGATTATTACTTAATAAAAAGTTCAAAAGTCAAAAAGTATTTAGCCAGAGTGATGTAATGTGATATGTCAGAATTTTCTCTGGTATTGGTCCCATTGGATGACTATGCAAACACACTGTGGAAAATATGCACACACACTGTGTGGAAATATAACAATAATGCAATACTGTGATGCAACTTTTTTTTGGTTAAAATACTGTGATGTATAACTTGTATGTACTCCATGCAACCTATTTAAAAAACGAATAATTTATAATTACATGGTGTGAGAGTATGGTTATACCAGTGTTTTGGATTCAAGCTTTTTAATTAATTTGATGATGTAAAATTCATTTAACATATATATAACATTGTAATTAATTTGAGAATGTAATATATTTTCATTGTTGTTGTATTATAGCTTTAATATTTTTTATTATTGCGTGATCTTAGATGCTCTGTTTATTTTTACAAAGAAGTACAAAATCAAAATTCTTGTTGTTTACCATTCTTCATAGCTACACCACTCTCCATTATCTCTCTCTATATCAGTGTGTTGTAGATTAACACACAATATGTGTCTGAGGATTTTGGGGTTATTTCATATATAATGTGGATAACTTGCAACTGGTGGGGTCTAATAAATGTGTCCCAAATCCAACAGTCGGCCGGTGATGTACAGAAGTGGAAAGTGTGTGATCACTAACACTAATTTGTAATTGCGATCTAAGTAAATCCAATGGCTTTTAGCCCATATTTAATGGTTATAGGGACTGGGTTGTGGATAAAATGGAACAAGGCTTTGATTTTAGTAAGAGTAGTCTTGTTATAATAGCTAGTTTTTTACTACGAATACTACTGTTAAATAGTAATTGATCAGATATTTTTTACAATAATAATTTTTTTAATTTTTTTTTTTTTTAAAAGAAAGGATTATTCTTCAATAACGAGTTTAAGAGTCAAAAGTGCATTAGCTAGATATGTCACTAATCAGTATAAAGAAAGGTAGATATCTCTTCACGGTACATATTAATTATGCTTTAATTTTACAATTTCAAAAAATGTAATGTCACATCAATAATTATGCTAACTTACACACATATTTATTTAAAAAAAAAAAAAAAAATCCGCCAATTTTCTTTTACACTCTGCTCTTATTTATTTTATTATAATTAAATGAAAAGTGCACGCAAAGGCCGACTTTGAACCCTTAGTCAATGTTGTCACGCTACACCAAGGTATTGTAGAAACTCTAGGACATTTTTGGGCGGACCAGAATTTACTCTGGCATTGGATGACTACTACATCATAAAACAAATATGCGAACACACTATGTGGAAAATTTGCGCACACGCACACACTGTGGGGTGTGGAAAATATAACAATAATGCAATACTGTGATGTAATTACTTGCATGCACTCCATGCAATCTATTTTAATTTGGTATTGATGTTGGTGTTGGCATTGGATAGATTGTTAAGATATATACGTAAAGTATAAAAACGAATAATTTATAATTACATGGTGTGAGAGGATGGTTATACCCGTGCCTGTTGTGGATTCCAGATTTTTAATTTGATTATGTAAAATTCATTTAAGATATATAATTAATTTGAGAATGTAATATATTTTCATTGTCTTTGTATGTTAAAAAAAAAAAAATGATACTGATCTAATCAAGAGGAGATCGATCAATCCCATTCTTTATATATCCTCTCTCTCTCTCTTATATAAGTCAAATGATTTCAGACATTTCTCCTCTTGCTGCGGAAAATCACGCTCATGCAATGCATGTCATATATTATATATGAACTCAAAAGAGAGAGCAATAAGAGGAGAAATGTCTGAAATCATTGACTTGGGCTAATGTGTTTAGTGGGGGTAGCAATGGCATAACTTATATGAATTAATTCATGTCATCGGATCATGATCAATTGATCATGAGTTGAGGTTATTATTTTGGAAGATGTGATAGTTAGCTCCTATTATTTCTCTCTGTCTCTCTTTCTTATTTATTGCATTGTGCCAAGTAGTCTTTAACAATAATAAGGTAACAAAAATTCAAACCAATAATGAATTTTTTTCATAATTTTAGTAAGAATAATATTAAAATTAATTAATTTTACAAGTATGTAGTCCAAAAAACAAAAAAAATATAGGGGATATATTTCGCCTCTCTTCTTGTTTCTTTATTAACTATTTGGTATGATATTTATTCATACAGTCAACTTCCTTGAGTACCAAAAGTCCTTAGTTTTTGCGTATTCTCATTATATTTAAAATTGATAATATAAAGAATTAATTAATCACCATCAAACTCCAAGAAAGAGTTGGTGCATGTGTCTGAAAAATTATGAGATGAGACGAGGGCAAGTTGGACTAAAGCTAGAATTATATATATATGGTGATGTCATTTCGTGTATATATATATATTTATATATAACATTTGAGGACTGCTAAACCATAGTCGCAGCTGTTGGGAAACATGCTAATTTTAAAAACTTTTTGATGGATTTTAATTCATTGATCTTGATTCATCACATAGAGACAAGTATTATGCAAAAATAAAACATGATGTATCATACAATTAAAAGATTGAATACTTATATCAAAGTTTGAGTAAACCTTAGATCTCTCCTCTAAAGTGAATGTTCTCACTTATTGTAGATCCCTTTTGCTAGACACCTTTTCCATGGATCTCCATCTTCTTGGTAATAGTTTTACCTTTAGGAATCACTCATAAGCCTCCATGAATGACCTTGGAAAACTAGGCTTGTGGGAGCCTCCATTAGATGAAAACACTAACCTAATTTTCTAGAGAGAGAAAATATATTCCTTTTCTTTTCCTAATAATCAAAATCACCCCTAAAATATACATAGACCATGTATATTTATAGGCAACATAAAAGTAAAGAAAAGGAAACAACTAATCATTCTCAATCTCTAATTCACATGTCTCAAATCTAATATGATTCCAATATCAAGTTAGGCTATGAGTGAGAATCCTTTGGGCTTATTATTTTATTGGCTACAATGAATTAATAATTGGCCCGGTCTATGGACCCAATTCAATCAATTCATAAATTAATTTCTACTCCACTAAAAGAAATTAATTGAACTCCAATTAAATAATAAATAACCTCTGAGTCAATATTGCACTTTGACTCCTCTATGCATAATTAGTTATCGGATAAATAAAACCATCAATCCGACTACTTAATTAATATATTTATTTTTGTACCTTTGATTATTTCTGGCTCGATCACAATAAAATATTTGTTTGACAAAAATAATAATTTAAATAAATAAATATATAATAAATCATTTTGTCTAAAAACACACGAAGGCCTTCGAATTTACTTTGTGATCAACCATAATCAATACAAAATAAATACAAGTAGCAATGATGCAAATATTGAAAATATAACCCTCTAACTATTAATTACATAATTACCCAAAGTGTCGGTCTAAGGATCCCGAAGAATCCGCCGAACAAATCAAAGTAATTATTAATTAATAAAAGAGTCTATAATTTTCTCATGCTTAAGAGTCAAATGCCATGACGGTGATAGGGAGCAATTGCATACGACGGCTCTCGCAATATATCTCAACCTAACGCGGATCTAGTTCAAATCTTAATTAATTATGAGTCCATCCATAATTACCGACTATGAACCATTTATGATTACTATTTATATATCATGCATTGATTACCATCACATACATATATATAAATATCTCTTGTAATCAAATGGACACTATCAATTCTATAATGAATCGAAATATAATACATTGAATTCACCAATTGTATAAAACATAAATATTTCAGAAACGTCAGTAACATATGTCACTTTAATCCAAACAGGAATTTGTTATGCCAGGGCATATAAATCCCAACAGCTCTCACTTGCTCTCATAACCAATTCAAATTGCACATAACTCCAATGTTATCCAGATGTTGATCAAAATTATTAATCAATAACACCTTTGTTAATAGATCAACAAAGTTGTGTTCCAATGCAATGTTCTAGCCACAAGTACATTTTCTTGCCGGACAATATCATGTAGAACATGATACTTCCTCTCAGTGTATCTTGTTCCTCTATGGAACCTTGGGTCATTGGTTTGGACTACTTCTGCACTATTGTCACAACATAGCTCAATAGGCAGGTTAGTTTACTCCACAACCTCTAAATCAGTGAGATCAAACCAATAGGCTTCCTTTGCCGCCTTTAAGGCTGCAATATATTCCACCTGCAGGTTTGAGTCAGCAGTTGAAATCTGCTTAACAATCTACCAACTGATCTCCCTTCCATTAAGTGAACATACACTAAGTCATGAACCTCATAGTATCTACTTCTGATTAAAAATCAGAACTAGCATACCTGACTAGGACCATATCATCACATCCATAAATGAGTATGATATCCTCGGTCCTCCTTAGGTATTTAATGATATTTTTCACAACAGACCAGTTATCAAGTCCAGGATTGGATTGATATCTTTTGACTATCCCTACTATGTAGCGGATGTCCTATTTGGTATAGACCATA